TTACGGCGAGGCAGTGGTCGGGCAGGTGGTTTAGGTGTCGGGGCAGCTGCGGATTGGATCACTGGCTTCATCCCATAGCTAAACTTGGCCAGACTTGGGCGACACTCCAAGTTCTCCACGGAACGGCCTCGCGGGCACGTCGGCACCAGGGAGCGCGCCCTGTGCTTCTCAGGCTACGGCGACGGTGCTGCAGCGTGCACAGGGGAGGGGATGGCCATGCGGAGGCTTCTGGTCGCTTGGGCGGTGCTGGACGGCGCCGAAAGGCAGGGCTGGCCCCTGCTGGCCGCCACGGGTGGTTCTGCCACCGCAGAAGACGCCGGCGTTGGCGAGACACGTCGCCACCGACGCTTGCGCCCGTCCAAACGATCGTGCGGCGCACTTGATAAGGAGAAGGAGCAGGGAGCAAGGCACCAACGTGCACACTGGTGAGATTGACGCCGTGGTTCTGAAGACACGACACTGACGACATAACTGCATCACTGAATCTCTGAACTTTCTGAATTTTGATAGAAACAGTGCACTCCAGGTGTTCGATGAAATGTTTTTGGCATGTGGAAAAAATTTCTGGAGTTGATCCTTGGTTAGGTCACCTCTCAATGCATCTAGGGGCTGCCTGATTTATCTCAGATTTTTAGGAGAAGAAAAACTATGGATTTCACCAAAAATGGCAAATCTGGTCCAAACTTGCAGCAAGCAAGTTTTAAAAATTTTGAATTGTGGACCAGTGGATCTTGATGGATCTAGGTTGAGGGTACTAAGGACTAGCCATAGGAGTTTATTTGGGACCAAAACTCAAAAGGAATCTTGTAGTTCCTTTGTAAGTCACCTAGGTCCAAAATAAAAGACAGAAATTGTTTTGAGGATAAAATAAATAGAATAAAAATCAATAATGGGTTGAAACTTGCTGGAGTTGGATATTTGACTTGGCCCAAAGTAGGGAGTGGATTTTGGGAGAAAATTTTCAACCTAGGTCAAGGCGAGAGAAAAATTTTGAATGAAGAAGAATCAATCCATAAGTCATAGGGATATTTATTTTTTTTAATAAAAGAAATATTAAGAAAACCCAAGATTCTCTGTGTTGACTCAACACATGTTGAAAAACCCTCAAGACCAAAACCAATATTGAGGACTCATAAAAAAATATTTGTCATAAAAAGATTTGAGAAGAAGAGTCCTTCTTAAAAAAAATCAATAACCTCCTTTAAATCAAATAAAGATTTTTAAAAACCAAATCAATTTTTTTTGGAGTGTTACAGGATCACATCAGGATAGGAGTGGAGTTCTTATGCGACACATGCAAGAAAGAAGCGACGCTCGCAAAGGGCATCGTCGTTGGCCTGCGACCAAATCGACCGCACCATCGAGATGCAGAGCGGAGCCACGGAGGACACTTGTTGATCCGTTTGTGAGTTTTGTTTGAAATTACAAACGAATATGTACTATATTTGTACGAGCTTCTAAACAGTATGGGCGTAACATTTTGCCGTCCGTTCATAGTTGTACGCCACGCTTTGCGTTAATAAAAAATACAGGGCCCATGCAGGGTACTGCAGTACTGGCAGTACATCTTTGTTCCACGTATGTACCGTGTCCTACGTGTCCGGCCGGAAGACACGCTTTCACTTTTCACCCGGACGCTGTACAGTCCTACAGCACGCCTTTAAAGTTGACCGTCCTCTTTCTGAGTTTTGAATCATCAACACGGTACGAGGAAGTGAGGTTTTGCCCAAAGAAAGAACACCAAGTGAGGACCGGTGAAACCGTCTCGCTGCCGTTGAAAGCTCGCCGATAGCGCAGTGCTCAACTCTGTGGCCACCTCACTGCTGAACATGGGTAGAGATGCCGTGTTGATTTGTACTGCAACTCACTCCCTGCATTTTCAAACCGAATCGAAAAACCATACCGAACCAAACCAATTTTACGGTTTTTATGGTTCATGGTTTTGATATGGTATGAACTTTTCATACTGTTTTAACTTTTGTTTTTATGGTATGTACCGAAAAATCGAACGGTTAACCAGATAAACCGAAGTAAACATCAATTTATATTTCTTGAGGCAAACAATCATACAAGTTATCATTTTGCTTATACATTAGTCAAATTCATTACCAAGCACGTACTTTTTCCTCGTAACATAGTCATTCTTCTCTTTAAAAATGCTAAGCACGTCCATAACAATCAAGGGATGAATCTATTCATGCATATATACTTATATATATAGTTATATACTACTCCCTCCGTCCATAATGTGAGACATTTTTTGACACTACATTATAAAACGGAGGGAATATTTGTGTAAAATACTATGTGTTTTGAGTCATAAAATTGTAAATTGTTATTACGTCATTTTTAAATTCGCGTCAACTTTGATTATTATGGTATATACCGAAACCATACCGAAATAATTTGATATAAACCGAAATCGAATAGTATTTTAATTTCATATCGTATTTACCGAAGTATTAATATCATACAAACCAAAAAACCGTATAAACCAAACCATGTAGATCGAATAAACCGAATGCATCGGAGTGAACTACAAACGTCGTTGCATTTGCATTTTGCATCGTAAGAAAAGCACTATTTACTAGCAGTGGCACAGAAGCACTCCACTAGTAGTAATCTCTGTCCCGTGTTGGTCCGTACCGATATTCCTCTGGGGGACGCTAGGCGCCGGCGCGCCGGCCCAACAGTTGGGCCGGTCGAGCCCCAGCCGTCCGATGCAGGCGCTTAAAGGCCGTCAGATCTGTCCCAGTGCTTCGTCCCTTCTCGCGAGTCATTTTCCTCTGAAAAACTGAACGCCCCCGAGCGTCGCCGACACCATGCCCCGAGCTTGAAGCAGCACCACAGCGCCCTCGTCGCCGGTCGGCGCCCTCGCCGGCCGTCCTCGTCGCCAGTCGGCACCCTCGCCGGCTGTCCTCGCCGCCGGTCGCCGCCCTTGTCCCTTGCTCTACCCATGCAACAGCTGCTTTGGGTTGCAGCTCCGCCCGACGCCGGATGTAGCTCGGTGGCCATGCCGCACCGCCATGCCGTCGGTCTGCAACTCCCCGGTGTCGCCATTCCCACCATCGTCGGCATGCTGTATCGATTGAAGCTTTTTCCCATGTCGCTTGAAGCTTTTTTCAATATGGTTGAAGCTATTTTCATGATTTGAAGTTTTTTTCCCGTGGCCATTGAAGCTTTTTTCATGGTTGAAGCTTCTTCACACATCGGTTGAAGCTTTTCGCGCAATGGTTGAAGCTTTTTCAGCACGACGAGGCAATGGGCAAATGTTTTTTGCTGCAATAGGGAACCAAGAAAGCTACAACCAGTAGCCATTTTTGCTACATCCAGGAAGATGACGAAGTGTGGCCGGCGCCTGGTACTGCGGGTGCCCCATGGAGTCCGGGTCGTGCGGAAGAAGATGAGGGGAAAATCGATTGGATAAGAAGTGCTTCGGTCGCCATTTTTTTTTTTTTTTGAGCGGTGCTCCGGTCGCCTAGTACACGCACGATCCAGCGATCACAAGGCCCGCGTGCGTCCGGCGCAACGCTTCGGCCGGCGCACCGGCAGGGAACGTTTCCCCTATTCCTCTTGGGCGCCGGTAACTGGAAACGGAATCCCATCTGAAAAGCAGTCGTTTTTTTAACTTCACGGGTTAGTCCAGGCACCAGCAGCCAGCGGCCAGCAGCAGAGGCGCGTGCTCCGGCTGTCTGGCACGCGGTCGCAGAGTCGGACCGCGCCGCGTCCTCCGCCTCCGGTCCAAAAACACGTGTACGCCGGGCCACCAGGAAGCCGCCGCCGCCGCCGCGGCAAGCCACCATCGCAGCAGTGGAAACGCGAGGAGAAAGAAAGATAGACATCCAGACGCAGCGGAAACCCCGACGCGGTCGCGCCCCCGCCCCGTCCATTCGTCCCGCCCGCCCTTTTACCTTTTCCACGCACGCTAATTTAATCCGTCCGTCCGCGCCCCCCTCGCCCTCTGCTCCTCTGCTCCCGCTCCCCGCCACCGTCACCTCCGCCGCCGCACCCTCGTGCGCGCCGCCCAGCGCCTCGCAGATGACGGCCGCCGCCGTCACGCTCTCTCTCCAATGACCTCCTCCGCGCCCGTCACAACTCCCCCGCTCGCGGCGCTCCTCCTCCTCCTGCTGCTGCTGCTCGCGCCCGCGGCCGTCACAGCCTCCACGCTCGCCGTCGCGGGGGGCTCCGCCGTCTGCGGCGTCGCCGCCGACAACGGCACCGTCTACTGCGTCGCGGCCACAGCCGGCTCCTCGGCCTACAACTCCTCTGCCTCGCCCGTCGCGCCGTACCTCGTCTTCTCGCAGGTCTCGGGCGGCGCGGGGTTCCTCTGCGGCGTCGGCGCGGTCCCAGGCGGCGGCGTACCCGCGCTCTTCTGCTGGCCGCCGGCCGCGCCGGGCCAGCTCAGGCGGGTGTACAGGGGCCCCGCACCGCTCTCGGACCTCGCCGTCGGGGCCGACCACGTCGCGGCATATGACGGGCAGGCGCGCGGGATCCGATGGTGGAGGAGGGGGTCTGACCAGTTCCCGGAGCTGGTCCCGGGCGCGTACGGCTCTCTCGTCTCCGGCGACAGCTTCACCTGCGCGCTCGAGACCGGCTCCTCCTCCTCGGCTGTCCGATGCTGGGGGCCGCTGGGTACCTCTGTGCAGGCAGCCTTCGCCAACGTCTCTGTGTCGTCCCTCGCCGCGGGGGGCTCCCGTGCGTGCGGCGTGAAGGCGGCCACCGGCGAGGTGCTCTGCCCCGGCTCGGGCGCGGGCGTGCTCCCACAGAGCGACCTCGACCCCCACGGGCTCGCCGTCGGCGACTCCCACGCCTGCGGGCTCCGGCGGCACAACCACACCGCAGTGTGCTGGAGCCTCGCGGGGCCGACACCTACCGAGTACTACCCGGCCTACGGGACGGAGTTCGTGTTCCTCGTCGCCGGCGGCAACCTCACGTGCGGCCTCGTCACTGCCAACTTCACCGTGCTGTGCTGGTCGTCGGCGGCGGGCAACACGGCGGTGATGGTGCCGTTGCCCGCGATTCTCCCCGGCTCGTGCGTCCCTGACGACTCGTGTAAATGCGGCGTCTTCCCGCGGTCCGCGGAGCTCTGCGCGAGCGCGCGCGCAGGCGGCGGCGTCATCTGCACTACGGCGTGCGACATCTCGCCGCCGCCGCCGGCTGCACCCGCATCGCCTCCTCAATCATCGGCTACGAAGCGAGTGTCTAAAGTCTGGATCGCCTTCGCCGTCGTCGGCGCGGTCGGTGTCTTCGCTGGCATCTGCTCCATCATCTACTGCTTCGTCTTCGGCTTCTGCAGCCACAAGAGGATCCACAACTCCGTCCAGCCCAATCTCGCCAGCAACGCCCCTGCCGCGCCGGCGGATAACGTCGGTGGCGTCGGCGCTGGAGTCGGCGCCGTGGCCGTGGCGAGCCCCTACGGCTCGCCGAACGGGTCACGGGCGCGCGGCCTCTTCCGGCGGCAGCTCTCCCGCGCCATGACACGGCAGCGCAGCGGGCCGTCGTCCTTCAACTTCAAGGAACACACCGAGGAGTACACGTTCGCGCAGCTGGCGACGGCGACGAACGGCTTCGCGCCGGAGGCCAAGATCGGCGCGGGAAGCTTCGGCACGGTGTACCGCGGCAAGCTCCCCGACGGGCGCGAGGTTGCCATCAAGCGCGGCGAGGCGTCGGGGCCAATGGCGCGCAAGTTCCAGGAGAAGGAGAGCGCGTTCCGGTCGGAGCTGGCCTTCCTCTCCCGCCTCCACCACAAGCACCTGGTCGGCCTGGTGGGCTACTGCGAGGAGAACGACGAGCGGCTGCTGGTGTACGAGTACATGAAGAACGGCGCGCTCTACGACCACCTCCACCCCAAGGGCGGCGGCGCCGACGCGGACGCGGCGTCGCCGGTGGTGTCGTCGTGGAAGCTGCGCATCAAGATCCTGCTGGACGCGTCGCGGGGCATCGAGTACCTGCACTCGTACGCCGTGCCGCCCATCATCCACCGCGACATCAAGTCGTCCAACATCCTGCTGGACGGCGGGTGGGTGGCGCGCGTGTCGGACTTCGGGCTGTCGCTGATGGGGCCGCCGGAGACGGAGGAGGCCGGCGGCGCGCAGCAGCAGCACCTGTCCATGAAGGCCGCCGGCACGGTGGGGTACATGGACCCGGAGTACTACGGCCTGCACCACCTCACCGTGAAGAGCGACGTGTACGGCTTCGGCGTGGTGATGCTGGAGACGCTGACGGGGAAGCGCGCCATATTCAAGGAGGCCGAGGGCGGGAGCCCCGTGAGCGTGGTGGACTACGCGCAGCCGAGCATCGTGGCCGGGGAGCTCGGCAAGGTGCTGGACGGGCGCGCGCCGGAGCCGTCGCCGCACGAGGCCGAGGCCGTCGAGCTGGTGGCGTACACGGCCGTGCACTGCGTGCGGCTCGAGGGGAAGGACCGGCCGGCGATGGCCGACATCGTGGCCAACCTGGAGACGGCATTCGCGCTGTGCGAGGGCAGCGCGGGCGGCAGCCGCGGCGCCGGCGGCACCACCACGGGCGGCGGCTTCGGCAACAGCTCGTCCAGCGCCAGCCTCTCCATGACGTCCATGGAGCTGTCGGGACGGCTCGCGGAGTAGCTAAATCCGTTCGTGAAAATTCGAATCCAGGAGTTTCAAATTGTGATTAGCCCGGGTAGGAAGCAGGCGAGGTCCCTGGATCGCAATCCGTTTGTTAGTTGATTGATTTTTGATTTGAGGCTAGATTTTGGAACCGGAGAGGTCTCTCTGTGTGTGATGTGATCATCTCATCACACATTTTGTTCTTGGTGGATGTACATGGTCGTATTGAACTGATCTCTTCTTTCTCAACGATGCTCTGTGCGTTTGAGCCTTTGAGGCATCATTCCCAACATGATAATTTCTCTCGAGTACCCTACGAATCATTGCGTTCCAAACCACTCTGGTGGGATTCCAGCAGAATCATTGCGTCCCAAGCAGCTTTCGGGCATTCAGGAAGGAAGAATCAATCTCGATCATCATCATCGAGCATCTTTGGAGTTTGAACAGATCAAAGCGCCGTCTCCCGCCTCGTTTTCTCTTCTTCGCTTTTGGTCTCCGGTCTACTACAAGAGCGTGGAGCGGTCAAATTTCTTTATTCCTACCCATCTGCACACGCAGACGCATCGCTCGGCGGTCAATCGGGGGTTCGCTCGCCCGGAAGTGGTTCCGGGCTGCTTCCTCCCGGCGAGCAAGGTTGGTGCGATTTTCGGTCTACCGTGACGAGCACGTACGGCACGGTCGTTTTCTCCGGGTGCTTCGCGTCATTTCTGGCCGCCGGTAGTCTCGTGGTGTACAGTTTCGGCAACCATGACGACAAAAGGATTGGTCAGGACGAAGCGGATGCCGATCTCTAGACAGACTAGTGTATAGTACAGTAGGTCTTTATTAGCCCCTCGCCATCGCAAAAATGATAGATTTTAGTTCCCACCCGAAGGGGTGTGATTTATGACGTGGCCGCGGTCTTAATGGCAGTCCAGCAAACTCAAAAGTACAATGCTCAAAACAAATCAACAAAAAAAGATAATGAAATGGAAAGAAAAACTGAAAATTTATGAAAATCAGCGACTTTTGAAAACGAACAATATGAAGGTAGATTAATAAAAGTCCTTTTTTTAAAATTGGATCTTCTAGGAAAATGAAAATGAATTTTTGAAATGTTATTCAACAATTTTAGTTATTATTAGGAATTCTACACTTTTTGTCAAAACTTTAGAGCATCTCCAGCCGCG